ACACACACACACACACACACACACACAAACACACACACTCCCCCCCTCTCTCTCTCTCTTTCTTTCTCTCTCCCTCTCTCTCTCTCTCTCTCTCTCTCTCTCTCTCTCTCTCTCATCCTCTCCTCCACACACATCTGTGCACATAACCATAAAAATATAACAGTATGCTGGCCCTCACAAACAGGCTCACAGTCACATCATGTATAATTGGTATATATTAACAATAATTGTTATGAATTCCTAATTGTTAACATTAATAGTGTTAAGCTAGATACGTAATCAATATTCTAAACATGCATTCGTGGCTGGATTAGAAAAGAAAAATTCAAACAATGACACAACGATACAGCTCTCGGAGTTAAACCAGGAGGTTATGATTTGGATTCCATTGAGAAGGGGTTTTATTTTTTTATTTTTTTTAAAGGGGGGGTAGACGGTACCTTAGAATTACAAAGTTCTTTCTAATATTTTTGGCCGTCCTTGGGTTACTAAGACCATGAGGTCGAGGTCGCTAACCAAAATTATGTTCTATCTTCTGATTTACATCGAGAGATATCTTAGTGTTCGAAGAATTGTAGTTCGAAAAAGCCTGACATATTGTGAAACTTAAATGTTTTTCCACGTCAAATTTCTCAAAAACTTTGTACTAAGCACACAGCACATTGTAATCTGAGGGTAGCGTAAAGTCTATGCCGTATCATTATTGTTCCTGGACGGAGAGAGAGGGAGAGATGACTTAGTGGAGACGAGTGATCTGAGCATGCCACAACGCTAATTGAGTGTGCGCTGTGTTGGGGCAATTTAGAAATAAAAAGAATAAGTTATTCATACTGGTTTATCAACGCTGTTTTCTGTTTCTGAAACATAGGAAAGCAGGAAACAACATACTTTACAACACGAAACAGGCAAATTCGTGTTTTTCAGTTGTGTGTTATATCGCAACAGTTCCTTAGATCTGCTGGTGATCGGACATTATTAAATGTGTCCGCCGCTACTCTCTTCAACAGTTACAGCGAGCTGGGACATAGTGCGATATACATAATGTGTGCGTTTATGAAAAAAAAAAAGACCAGACGATCAAGAGAAATAGCACAATCTACAGTAATCTAAGAGACACGATCACGATCCACAGTCCCCATCTACATCAATCTCAACACCAGCCTCGTCATCGTCGTCATCTTCGACTTCTTCGTTGGAAGCTTGATTATCCTCAATTTTGACTACGTTGACATGGGACGGAGGAGTAGAGGTGGCTGATTGTGTCCTGCAAAATAAAAAATAATTTTTAGAAATTAGAAAAAATATGATCAGATGCTTAAAACACCTTAGTAAAAACATCGGGTGAACGCAAAATATAGCTGAAGACCTGAGAACAAGATTTTATCACCAAGTCAATTTGGCTCAACGGAGAAAAATGAAAAAAAAAAACACACAAAAAACCCAACCCAAAACAACATGGACTCAGGTCTGTATTTGCTTTGGGATACGCTGCAGTTGTGTCCCCCCCCCCCTTTTTTTTTGGTCGTTAACTATTAACGGTAGATTGTCATGTGCACTATTATTAAAAATGTTGGGCTGGCGTCTTCTCTATTAATTACAAAGAAATAGATACCAAAAACTCAATGTTTGCCACTTTGTACTTATGCATAGTCTTGTTCTCGGGTCTTCAGTTATTTTGTGCTTTTTGATACACTGTAGAACACTGGGATGTTACATCCTCACACTTCGTATTTACTTAACCCTCTATGATCATCACACTTGAACATGTAAATACAAATGTATGTGAGAAATTGTGTTTGTTTAACACCCCAAGTAACACTTAAGTGTGAGATTATTTAAGAAGCGGGCCTCCGAATTTAGTGATTAAAGTTTCAGACCGCCCTATAGGCAAATACATTACTATTATTTGTAAAGAACTTACTAAAATATATATATAATGGGACCTGTCCAAGACGACGTTCATTGTCGAAGAGAAAAGTGATCACCTTAAACCCGCGGTCAGACAGAGTCGTTAAGATAAGTGTAGGAAAAATAAAAAACACGCAAGAAAGGAAGCAGGAAATAGTCGCTTGTGCAGGTGATTGTCTTGGACAGGAAGTCGTTAAAGCAGGTCAACCGTAAGGTATTAGTTCTGAGTAAAAAACCATAAGTAGAACTTACGGGAGTGTGCAGTGCGGTTTGAGTGACAGGTCTTCCCCTGTCCGCCCCAGCAGCCTATCCACAGAGTAGAGTCTGCTGCTCACATTCCCTGGCAGAACATCCAGGGATCTCTGAACCACTTGTTCTAAATTCCGGAGAGAGGACCCTGTGCAACACATAGAGGAAAACTTAACTTAACTGACCAAGAAGACAGGCAACAGGAAGGAAAGGAGGTACCGTAACCGTCAACGTCTGCTCCAGACCTGACACTTGAAGAAGAAGAAGTTCTATATTCCAGACAGAAGACCCTGTGCAACATTCTGAGCTTAGGCGCCTCTGTGCAACTATAGTTAGAGGCAATCAATGAATTCCATGGTGACGTCATATATTTTTTTTAACCTACAAAATTACAACTATAAAGGCAATCAATGAATTCAATGGTGACGTCATACATTTTGTAAAAAAACAAACTATTTTGTAGGTTTGAAAAAAAACAACAACTTCTGACGTCACCATTGAATTCATTGATTGCCTTTATAGAGTTGTACAGAGGCGCCTATGAACACATGAGAACAAAAGTTGCATAATGCTGCAAGTCTGTACAACGCACAAGTTGGGAACTGAATCGAGTGCTTGAGTTGAACAGCCTTTCTTGTAAGCTTAATCTTAGAACATAAAACTTTAGCGACTTCGTATGTAAACAGAAGTTCATGACAACACTCTCTAAACTCATAATATGTTAAATGATATTTACTTTACATTTGCACCGCGTTTTCAAGTATTCCCTTGAAGAGCACCCTCCCCCCCCACCCCCCACCCCACCCCGTCTCTCGATCTAGAATTATTTTATCTTAAAAGACAGTATATCCAGTTTTGGACGAAACTGAGCTATCGATTCCACTTGATAGTTTAAAACTCGGTGTACATTCGCACATAAAGTTTATGCCTCAGTCTGGTATCGATATCTTAATAAATAAAGTGGGGAAAGTATGTATTTTGAAGATATTTTAAAGCAACTGACTGTTGAAAGGCAATTATGTGTTGTTGTTTGTTTGTTTGTTTTTTGCACTCTTGGGCATTTTAGGAAACTGGATGTACTTCTTTTTAAGATAAAACCCCAGCGTATACTTGAGAGGTGTACTTTTTTATACGTTGTCTTTCACGGATACGTTCGATAGGGGTGGAGAGGGGTGGAAATGTGTGTGGGGGGAGGGGGGCGTTGCTCTTAAAGTTAAAGTACAAAAATGTACATGTATATCA